CCTAGGGTGTAGTGGGCGTAGGCGGGGTAGGGGTGGGTAGGGGTGGGTAGGGTGGGGGCCTAAAAGGCCCGGGTTAGGGTTAGGGTACGGTGAGTTCCAGGTATTGTTGGCGTCGTAGGATTGCCGCGGTCGGGAGCCATTTTGACGTCCGCGACCTCGGCCCCGATTTCCACCGCCACGGCCTTGTTCTCGTCCATAGCCTCCACGTTGACTGGAGTTGCCTTCCCTATAGCCGTTGCCGCCATGCTGTCCGCCATAGCCGCCGGGAGTACCACCGTGATTGCCGCCGTGAGAGTTGCCGCCGGCTCGGGTCATGAGGAACGCCGTGGTGCCCGAGTCGGAGGGACTCGTCCGTTGCTGATCCAGTAGCATGACGGCAGAGCGAACCTGCAGAAACGTAGGCATGGGATCCTGAAATTGCATGAAAGCTGTTTGTGCCTGGAGATCGGCAGGGAGACCACGAAGCATTTGAAGGACGAGCTGGTGTTGGGAGACTGGTGCATCGACATCATCCAACCAATCGACAAGGTTCTGCAGTTGTTGACAATAAGCCGCCATGGTGGAGTTGCCCTTGACTGTTGTGCGAAATTCATGCTCCAACTGCATGGCTCGGGCATGTTTGTTGTCGTGGAACAGGTCGTGGACGACCTTCCAGAGAGCAGAGGCAGTAGAGACAGAGGAGATTACCAGATCTGATACTTCATCAGTGATGGTGGAGAGAATCCGACCCTCGAGGACAGCGTCAAGTTGGAACCATTCGTCGTCGTCGTCGGAGAGGGGGACGACGGAGCCATCGATGTAGCCCTGGAGGTTGAACTACCGAACCAGAAGAAGGAAGAGGTGGCTCCACTTCTTGTAATTAGGTTGAGAGAGACTGAGTTGAACGGGAACGTGGAGTTTCACGTTGGAGATAGTTGTGAAAGCAAGATGTGGGGGTTTTGAGGAGAGATTTTGAGATGTGACCTCGCTAACTTTGGCCATGGTAAGGGAGAGAGGGGGAGGAGGTTGCCGGCTTGGGAGAAGGGTGGTGTCGCCGCTGGTTTGGCAGCCACAGAAGGAGGCGGCACACGGTGGAGGGTGGTGGCGGGACTAGGCCGAGAGGGAGAGAAAGAGAGGTAGATTAGGGTTTTGTGATTTTAGACTCCGATACCATGTAGAAAGGTTAATTTCATTGATTGAATATGTGGGAGTAATGTTTATATATACACAAGGATTCCTAATCCTATACAAGGTATGAGACAATAATAGGAAACAATATATACATTAAATATAGAATATATACTCCCTCCGTCCCGGAAAACATGGGAGTTTTGGTTTTGGAGAGAAATTTAAGGGAAGTGTATTTTGGTATTGAATTTCTAAAAATGTCCTTTGATGTGATGGGTAAAAGTATGATTTGATGGATAGATTATTAGTAAAAAGGTATGATGTGATAGGTAGGGTATGAAAAAAGTAAGGGGTAAAAGTAATTTTTTAATAGAAATGAGAAGTGTTTTTTGGGACGGATGAAAAAAGAAAGGAGAAAGGTTTTCTGGGACGGAGGAAGTATTTAACAAGTGTCCCCATTTACTTGTACCTAGATCCGCCCCTGATTTGAAGAATCACGAGTTGTTTTTTTTATTTTATATTTTCTCTTTACCTAAATGTCTCCCCTTTGTTTAATTTTTTTATAAAATTGTATTCTTGGATGATGTTGGTCATGATATAAAGTTTGATAAAAATTTTGGCCCTGCAATGCACTAGTATGAGTATGTCGTAGTTATTCAGAATCCGAACAAACCAATTTCCTCCGCCCGGGAAAGTGATATCATATCCAGCCATATATAGCTTAAAGACCCAAGTAATTTTATTGGCTTATAGCCAATGCTCTTTCAACCTCACATTTATATCCAATACTCTTTCGACCACACATATTTATCCCCTCTCTAATGTTTTATTTGCAGCATAGTCCATAACATGTATGGACATAACTTGATAAATATCAAGAAAGTTGTCATCATATCTATACTACGAAGTATTTGCTAGAATCGTTGCTAGAAAAAATCCACTTCCACAACACTTGATGTATACCAAGGGTTTGCACAGGCACTCTGATAACACACACTGGCACAAAATGTCAAATACGAAATCAAAATTTTGCACTGATATTTTGCGTCGTGAGCTAGTAGTGTACCGGTGCACACCTTTGTAATATAACTTGGTGTACAGCAAGTAGTCTACACCTTGCATGGTTGTGATTGCTAACATGGACAGCGCTCACATTTACATACAAAGAAGCATTTCAATTTTGGACAAAAGATTATCGCCCCCGGGCCTGGTGCTGTTATGGTGGTGCTGGCAATATTGTTTTTCGCAAGATTGGCGGTTGAAGAACACGAGCAAAACGTAGTAAAAATCACAGCCATGAGTATACCATATGCTAATGATAATTTTGCAAATTTTGGAATCGGCATTATCATTTTTACGATGCAAGATTTGGAACGAGAAATCTAAAGTAAAAGGAATAAATATTTAGTTTGGCTTGATTTCCTTGGTGAATATGATTTGTGTTAGGATATGTTTTAGGTTTGATAGTTTTCCTATTCTTGTTATAGTAGGAATAGAATTATGAATTATGGTAGGAATAGAACTTTACTTATTTGTTTGACTCTCTATCTATATAAAGAGGGTTGAATCTTTGTAATTGCCAAGACAATTCAATACAAAATTATTCTCCATTATTATTTTCTACATGGTATCGGAGCCAACCTTGGAACCTAAACCCTAGTTTACTCTAAATCGTTGCTTCCGCGGTCGCCGTCGCCAGGGGTTTGTCCGGCGACGGCGGCATCACCTTCTATTCCCACTACCTATTTTTTTTCACCCAATCGAAAAAAAAAATCATCTTCAAGACATAATCAGTGCCTCAGTGGCCTCAGTGGAGCAGCCCAGTTTCGTCGTCCAGGAGCAGTATCCGTTTGGCAAAAATTTGGTGTTGGTGCCTCAAAATTAGGATGTACGTAGTATTTGTGATTTGTCTTCCACTAGACAAAGGTTGATTATTATCCTTGCCTAAAAGTTTGGGCACCTCAAAGTTTGATTTGAGTTTGTTACTCCGTGAGTTGCGGTTTGCTAACCTGGAACCCTATGCTCGTCGCCACCGTCCTTTGTTATTCTTCGTTGCCGCTTGTTATGTCCCGCCAAACAAAACCAAACTTTGGTTTGGAGTCTGCTAAGTTTGATCTACCAAAGTGGTTATTTGTTTTGTTTTGTTCGCGCTCCGCGGAAGAAGGTTTTTATGTTCACTCAGCCGTTCATTGAAATTTGATGACGTTTTTGGCGACATTGTTTTTTTGGTTGCTATTTGGTATGTTCAAGTGCAACCAGTTGTATGTTCAGCATATTTGTTTGTGAGGTTGGTCGCATAGTCGCGCCTCAGTTCGACATATCTATTTGTGAGGTTGGTCGCATAGTCGCGCCTCAGTCCGGCAACACGGCCTCCAAGTTTGGGATGCTTGTTAGTCGTCCCCGTGTCACCGCGTGGGAGTCATTCGTCATCAAAATTTATTGTTCGTTTGCAGGGCCAGTCACCTTCGTTCGTTGTTGTCACAGCAAATCAAGTTCAAGTTATTTATCAATTTTTTTCCGAGGTTTTATTATTCAATTTGTTCATCCGTGATCCTCATTCTCAACTTGAGGGGGAGTGTTAGGATATGTTTTAGGGTTTGATAGTTTTCCTATTCTTGTTATAGTAGGAACAGAATTATGAATTATGGTAGGAATAGAACTTTACTTATTTGTTTGACTCTCTATCTATATAAAGAGGGTTGAATCTTTGTAATTGCGAAGACAATTCAATACAAAATTATTCTCCATTATTATTTTCTACAATTTGCATTTATAGCATTTCGAAACAACTACTTCCCCTAAAAATAGAATCTCCACTTTCAGAAGAACATTCAATGGAAGCTTTGAAATAGTCACTTCTAACCACTATTTGTAGGACAAGATTTAGTCACGTAAAATAAATAAAAATAAAAGAGTAAATTCTATAAAAAGTCTCCAGTTATAGTCGTTTTTCATATTTAGTCCCTGCATATCAAATATTACTAATTTAGTCCCCAATTATTATATTCATTTCCACGAATGATTCTTTGTTAACATTTCCGTCAAGAACGTGGATAAAATTATAAACTCACACTCATTTCTCTCCTCAATAAAACTTCCTCCTTCCACTCACACTCATTTCCCAAACCTGTCGCTGAGTTTGAAGCTTTGAACCCAAAACTGAAATCATCATTTTTTTTCTCTCAATTGTTTGTCTAACTGGTGGAACCCATCCAAATTCGAAACCAGTTCATGGATGAGTTTTAATATTTATTTTCTTTGCAATTTCTTGAGACTAACCGATAAAACTCATCCATAAAGCTTATTGGTTTTGATTTTAAGTTCTACCAAGAAGACTAATAATTGAGAGAGAAATGATCATTTCATTTTTCGGTTTAGAGCTTCAAACTCAGCAACGAGTTTGGGAAAGAGTACGAGAGGAGGGAGGAAGCTTAATTGAGGAGAAAGAGAAGTATGAATATACTCCCTCCGTCCCAAAAAGATTTAATTGGTGCATATTGACTTTTTGGGAAATTAAGGGAGGGATATTTTGGTGTTGACTTTCCAAAAATACCCTTGATGTGATGGGTAAAAGTAGGATGCGATGGGTAGATTATTAGAAAAAAGGTATGATGTGATAGGTAGGGTATGAAAAAGTAAGGGGTAAATGTGGTTTTTAATAGAAATGTAATGGACTTTATGAGACACAGTTTTTTCGAAACGTGTCAGACTTTTTGGGACGGAGGGAGTACAATTTTATCCTTGTTCTTAACAAAAGCGTTAACAAAGGACCATTCGTGAAAAATGATATAATAATTGGGAACTAAATTAGTAATATTTGACATGTAAGGACTAAATATATAAAACGACCTATAACTGGAAACCTTTTATGGAATTTACTCGAAGTAAAATTACGAGATTTGAATTGGTTTAAAAATGGAGTAAAATAAAAATTATAGCTTTAGTATGCCAAAGAAATCATCGGAGTTTGATTTTTTTAGTCAAATTATGTTACACTTTAACTACAAATTTTGAAAAAAAAGTATTTATTATTATAATGTAAAGTTTGTTGGAGCTGGGAAAACAACGCTGCAAAGAAGCGTCATAGGATCGGTATACGAAGAACGTACGTGAAGAACGACTTGATAGACTTAGCAAATCGCGTATTAACATACGTTTTCAGATTAAAATTATTTCGGGGTACACCAAAATACTTCAATAAGATTAGACATAAGTAATCTATTAGAATGAGTATGGATTTTTCGGTCGTATTTCGCAACATACCAAGGTGCCATATTTATAGACAAATTCCAAACGGGCTTGTTGGTTGATGAAATAACTAACTTTCAGGTAAAATTCGAATGTCGGTGCAAAAACATTCGAATGTTCAATGGCGGATTAGCTAGATTGAACAGTTACTTTTGCGGTTAAATGCGAACCGTTGCAACTTATCATGAAACATTCGACTATTTAGGTTCAAACAATTGAATGTACGTATCAAGTATTGTACTTTCCCACATAATATGCCCGCTCGATAAACACAACATTCGAATGTATTGATTTGTACATTCGACTGTTGAGTATTTGAACTCCATACGAAAATCTAAAGGGTTTTCATAAAGAAACGATGTCCCTTGTACTCCGCTCTCGGGGGTTGTCGCCCCAGACTCTTTCTTTAGAAATTGAAATATCGCTAAATGAGCGTGCACTCGACCCGGCCTCCGAACTCGTTAACAACACATATTAAAATTCTCGTCCATTCTAAGTAAATCTCAATTACCATACATAAAATAGTCGATAACATTTTTTTAATATAGTTTAGATATACTCCCTCCGTTCTCAAAAACACTTCCTCTTTCATTTTTTCCACTTCCAACAAAACACTTCTCCTTTCAATTAAAAAACCAATTTTACCCCTACTTTTTCATACCCTACCTATCACATCATATTTTTTCACTAACAACTAAACTATCACATCTTACTTTTACCCATCACATCAAGGGCAAAATTGGAAAGTCAACTATAATTTAACACTTCCTTATTTTCCTCCAAAGTCAAAAGAGGAACTCTTTTGAGAAACGGAGGTAGTATCAAAATTTCATACTCTATAATATTTAATTATTTAAAACTATATTTAATTTGTTATAAAAAAGTTATACGATATAACTAAAACAATCAATATATGATTATCTTTTTTAGAAGAAAGAAGTATAGCATAAAGCTAATACTCCCTCTGTCCCACAAAATCTTTCTCATTTTTTATTTCATCCGTCCCAAAAAACATTTCTCATTTCTATTAATTATTTTTACCTCTACTAATTCTTAACCTACATATAACATCATACTTTTTCATATTAATTTATCCGTCACATCTACTTTTACTCATCATCTCGAGGGAATTTTTGGAAGTTAACACTAAAATATACCTCTTTAAATTCTTTAAAAGTCAAAACTGGCATGTTTGTGCTTGATTTTACCTCTCCACCTCTTCCTGTAACTACTTCGTATTTATGCATATAATTTCATCATAAAATACTACTACGTATTTTCATATGGTGTGCAGCTCTCAGCTCTCTCCACCTCTTCTTGCACCCCAAATTAAAAATCAGTGGCGGACCCAGACTCTCAAATGAGCGATGTCAAGAGTAAAGATGTCGAAACTTCTCAGGCAGATTATGTGGGAATGTGACGAGAGTTCGGAGGTAGCGTCTCCAGATTTCTTTTACATACACAATAAGAAATAATAAAAAATATCACACTAATAAATTTTATCTTTAACGTTTAAATAATTAAAACAACATTATTATATGACATTATTATTAATTATAAAAATGATAAAAAATGATAACATTAGAAAATTTTGAAGTAAATACACATTGGCACATTACAGTGGTAGATAACTATGTTTTTCAAACACAATAAGAAACAAAAAAAATTACAGAGTAATAAATTTTCCTCGAACATTCAAATGATTCAAAATTACACAAATATGGAGTAAAAAGTATTATTATTAATTATATAAAAAATGATTGTCAATACCTAATACTGTTTTTAAACAATTTCAGTAGTGTCGGTCGACACCACCGGACCCCCCTAGGTCCGCCACTGTTAAAAACCACACATGTGCACTTTCATTTTCTCCTAGTGTCATGTTAGGGTAATGGTTCATATAGACATAAAATATTTGTGCAAATTTTTCTTTATCCCACTAGCATATATATTGTGTCAATGTAAACCATCAAAATGTTATTGTATATCTTTGGTGTAACTTTAGATGCACACTCCTTATTGTAATTATAGCATGGTTGTTTCCATAATGTTTTAATTTTGAACAAATAATTCAGTCAAAACTCAAAAGAACCCGTTTTAGAACTCTTGTTGAAGGAAAATGCTACTTACACCTCCATTTCCTCAAAAAATTATTTTTGGGTACCCTGTATTTTCTGGTAATAATCTCATGTCTCATATTATCTTAAATATACTTTGGGGCATTCTTGATTTTTTGGTAAAAGAAATCACCCTACGTAGCACTCTAATTTATCTAATATTACGCATTCAGCGCTACTTATTGTTTTTTACCAAATTAGCTATTTATATTGTCAATCTCTTCCAAGAATACCCTTTATGTTGTCAATCCCTTTTATCTATCCCACTATCAATTGTTTCAATTCCTCTTTCAACTCCTATATCAAATTCGGACTCACATAATGTTAATTTGTGCATAGTGGCATATTACTCTTTTTTATCAAATTCTTTCAATTTTCAATCAATTAAATGTAGTTTTGAATAAATATATATAATAAAAATATGATATATAAAAATTATATCATAAAAATATGCCAATTATAAATACTTCCTTCATCCATAAATAGGGCTCTTATTCGATTTACGATGTTTGATTGAACTTATTTTCAAATCAATAATTTAAAATTGGTGTATAATTAAAAATATGAATTATATATTAAAATATTTCATAAAAAATTCTATAAACAAGTGGTGACAATGGGACTTACATATAAAACTACCAATGTTATAAATTATTATTTGACTTTCATTTTGTGCAAACAACTTGTGGTTGATTTTATGACAATGAGGTTTTTCCATGAAAGAGATTGTTATGAAATGTGTTACTCAATATGGTGGTTGTAAATATTTGGGTAGTACGGATTGATCATGTTTTGCAAACGCTTTCTGGCAGTGACTTTGTCTTCTATATATAATGTGGCAGATAAGAGTGCAAATATGACAGTGTATAAAAGTTCACGGCCTAAACAAATTTGTATGTACTTCATTAACTTTCATTAATAATATGGCAGTGAAATTAGACATAGATATAAAACTGCCAATGTTATGTTATATTATGAATTGAGTTTCATATTGTGCAAAAGCCATGTGCTTCGTTCTATGACTATTGTGTCTGAACATTCAAGAGTCCGTTATGGAAACGTGTTACTGAATAGGGAGCTGTTATTTTTTTGACAGTGTGGAATAATTAACTTCTAGCTACACGTTTTGGAAATGTCCTATGACCATGTTTGCCTAGTGTGTTTTGGTCAAATGGGATTTATATCCAAAAATCTCAATGTAATAAATTATTCATTAAGTTCCATTGGAAGTGGATACAAAAAAATCACCAAAATGACTAGTGCTTGAATAACTTTAATAAACAAAGTATGGAGTGTAAGCTCAAAGATCTTTGGCAGTGTGGAATGCTTGTGATCTAGGTATACTTTTTGACAGTGTATTATGTCCTATGTTTAGTATGCTGCTTATAAAGTCTTAAAATTTACAACATAATACCTTCCATTATCCATTTGTTTTCAGTACTACATAAATGAAATTCAACATATGTCTAATACTAACATCTTCTAATAACATTATACAAAATCAAAAAAGACCAAAAAAAAGTCAAGCCCATGTTTGGCCAGTGTGTTTTGGTGTAATTGATTATTCATGAAATCAGTCATATATTTTTGGGCAGTGTGGAATTCATACATGAAAACAGTCATACACATTTTTGGCAGTGTGGAATTCATATATAAAAAGAGCTATACATTTTCTGTACAGAGTGGAATTCAAACATGAAAACAGTCATTCACTTTTTGAAGGTGTAGAACTTATACATGAAAACACTGCTACATATGTCAATGGGCATTGCACTCCAACATGAAATTAAGGAACACAATAATATACTTACAGAGTGACACAAGATATAACAACATATATCCATTCTACACTGCCACATTAAATACTGACATATAAAAAACCACACTTCCCAGTACATAGTTACAAGTGAACAACTACACTGCCCAAAATAATAATATTTTTTGGCAGTGCGTAATGAACATTTGCTGTTTACTTAAAGGACAAAATCAGAATCACATGTACGAAACATATAGCACTGCTATTTAGAGTATTTTAATGCTCTAAGAGTGCTATTTTGGTTTTTCTCCCTTTTGGTAAAACTCCCAGGTTTTACAATATCCTAAATATACTCCAGAGTCTTTAAAATTTGTGATATTATACTCAGTGGGTACATTCTCTCAATTTAAACGTTAGATAAAAAGTTCTTTTACTTTGAATAATAATAACTCTAACTATAATATGTAACAACCGTAATTATAATATATAATACTAAATATATTAAATACTTGATACATTTAAAATATAATTCTCTCAACGTGAATGGTGAAGATTGAACGCCAACTCTAAATTGAACGATGACCACAGTCGTGGTTAGAAACTAGAGACATATCTTCGGCTAGAGCAGACTTAATGCATCTGGACCATTAGAGAAGAAGAAGGATTGTTGGGAAAGAAATGTACCTGCTTCGAGGAGGATGAGAGAAGAGCCGCTGCGGACAGACTCATGCCACTGACGTCAAAGAAGAGAGAAGACTGACATGTGTTGGAGTCGTGCGCGATTGGGTTAGAGGTAGAAGAAACACAAAGAATGAGGTACTGCCAGATATGCATGCATGTTGGCAGTTGACCGAAGATTTTCCGACTAAGCAAGTTGAGGGGATGATATGATCTAAAATTAGGAAGCGGTGGTGATGGATTCGGAGCTGGATGGAGGAGTATGGCAAGATCATTATTGGAGGAACAAGTGGGAGTGAGGTCACCGTCGCCGGATAAATCACCGGCGACGGTGGCGGAGGAAGCGGAATGTATTAGGTCACCAAGAGCGAAGGCTCTGATACCATGTAAAATACTCCCTCCATCCCCTTGTATTTGTCCACATTTGACTTTTGGAACTGTTCATCTAAGCACTTTGACTCATCAAATTCTCTCAATGTGTAAGTCTAAATATAGTCATGTGTGATCTTGTTTGATTTGTCTTAACATATAGATTATTAATATATAATTTTTATAATTTTTTAATATACAAATTACGTGATAAAATAGATTAAAGAAGTGCATTGGATGATTTGTAAAAATGAAAGTGGACAAATACAGGGGGACGGAGGGAGTAATAAAGAACGCTTTATTGATTGAACAAATAAAAGAAGAATACAAAGTATGTATTTATAGGTGGAGGAATATATTCTAGAATCTTCCACATTAATGACTAATTATATAAGGTAATATTATATAATAATAACTCTAACTATAATAGGTAACAACCATAATTATAATATATAATAATAAATATATTAAATAATTGATATATTTAAAATTTAATAAAATAATGATTATCAATGTAAAATTTAGTATTTGTCAAAGCAACAGAACTTTCAATCATAACGACCAAATAGATGCAATGCACCTTCGAAGCACAATACCACAAATTTTAAGGATCTTTGGGGTATATTTTAGATAGGGGCATGCTAGTAGTACACCAAAATGGAATACCCTATTTGTACACCAGGCAAACACAGACAAAAACAGAGACTTAATTACTGTATGTGATCCACAGACACTAAGTGTCTGTGTTTGTCTATGTTTGCCTGGTATACAAATGAGGTACTCCATTTTTGTGTACTCCTACTCCCCTAGGTTTATTCTTTTAGATAATGTAGGACCACAGAGTTCTTACCAAAAAATCAAGAATACTTTAGAGTATATAAAGCCTGAGAGTTATTACCAGATAATCAAGGGTACCCCAAAATAATTTTCCGCTAATTTCCTACCCCAAATAAAACACCCTCGTTACCCACCCACCCCACACCTTATTCTCACTCTCCCTTGCCCACCCAACCCCCTAACCTTTTCCCACTCTCCCACCTTGATTTCCCACAGCAACCGTTGTCGCTGCGATTTTCGATCTCTTCAGATTTCCGACCTCTTCCTCCTCGCTGGCTCTTCACTACTACAAAAAAAGGTAAAAAGACTGTCTCAATTGCATCGCATACAAAAATAATCAATGCAAAAGATCGAAGGCATCGGTGGTTTTTCAAAATCGATGCAATTGATTGTTATTAAATAAAATTTGGAAAAAATAGGTATTAGCATCAGTTATTTTGCAAAACTCGGTGCAATAGACCAATGGCATCGGTTATAAAAAACAACCGATGCTAACACATATTTTTTATTTTTCAATATTTTCAAAAATTAAACAAATGCATTAGTGTTTTACTAGAGCCAATTCTAAAACCAAATTTTAAATTTTTGAAATTGTTAAAAAATACAAAGGCATCAGTTGTTTTATTGAACCGATGCTACACTAATACCGTTAATTTTTTTAAGTTTTTAAATAATATAAAAAAGGCATTGGTGTTTTTAACAACCGATGCTAATATTCTTTTAAAGAGTATATTTTATTAATATTAATTGGACCAATTAGCAAACATATTAGATAAATGGTTTTTTTTTTATAATTTTTAAAAGTTTATTTTGAGTGAAGGAGGCTGATAGTAGATAGGACAGAGGGCTTATCTATTAGAACAAAAATCGAGACTCGAGTCACTCGACGATGGACGCTAGGGGTTGACTTCTTCCGGGACGAAGGATAGTGGACGGAGAAAGGTTTCTCATTGGCTTTTGCTTCACTCGACACTCGACGGCGGACGGTGGGATCGGGATAGGACTGACGATTAGAGGCAGAAGGCTGAGGATGACGAACCCTACTCGCGGCTGAGCTCTTGATCGACGGAGGAGAGGAAATGGACGCGATTTCAGGTGTTGGTTGTCATCGTCGTCCATCTGCATCGAACAGAAAGCTCCGAATCTGACCTTCGCCTGACGGAAATTGACGGTATTTTTCAATTGGAGACGGATATTGGAGACTTCACAGTTTCAATTGGAGACGAAATTGACGGAAATTCCGAATCTGACCTTCGCGGTTTCAATAGGAGACTTCACCCCTATCTACTAGGTATTTTTTCGATTTTCCAATTATTATTTGAATTTCTATGTGCCAATTTTTCTAGATCGAATAGTGGTATGCATAAATCATTGTGTATGTTAAGGCATCGGTTTAGCATTGTCTTCCTCTTCTCTGGAAAATTTAATATATTAAGCAAAGGCATTGGTTTTTCCTGTAAAACCGATGCTAATACCCTTTTCTAAATATTTTTTAAAAATTAATATATCAAAGGCATCGGTTGTTTCGTTCGAACTGATGCAAAAATACTTTTTGAAAATCCTTTTTAAAAAGTTGTACATCAAAGGCATTGGTTATTTCTACAAATGTGATGCGAATACCGTTTCGTGACTATTTTTTAAAAAATAAATATACCAAAGATATCGGTTCTTCCTGAATAACTGATGCAATTACAGGGTTTTTAAAATATTTTAGAAAATTAAAACACCAAAGGCACCGGTTGTATCTAAACAACCGATGCTAATACTCTTTTTTTAAAAAAAATTAGAAAATTAAAAGACCAAAGGCATTGGTTGTAGCTAAACAACCGATGTTAATACTCTTTTTTTAAATTAATAAAATAGCAAAGGCATCGTTTATTTAGAAACAACAGATGCTAATACTCTCTTTTTTTAAATTAATAAAATAGCAAAGGCATCGGTTTTTTTCAAAGCGATGCAATTGAATTGGACCAATTGCATCGCTTGTATTTGCATCGGTACAAAACCGATGCTAAAGGTACAAACAATCAATGCCTTTGCCCTAATATGTACTAGTGAATGTTTCGACCAATTCAATGGAACCATGCGTTAATATCAACTACAGAAGGATATTAGTTCTCTTGGTCAAAGTATACGAAAAATGCATGCAAATAATTTTTTAAACACTATTGAAAAGAATCAGAAGAAGTTAGATGAAACTAAAAGAGTGGAAAAATTTTGAAAATGTTGGAAGAGGTTGGAAGAATTAAATGGAAAGAAATTAGAAAGAGTTGAAAGAAACTAAAAGAAATTAAAAGGTAACAAAAATTGGAAAATATAATATTGGAAGTTCAAGATGCATTTGGTTTTGGGAAAATATGTGTCTAGATAATTATTATAAGAGAAACTAATTTTTACAAAAAATCATTCTCTCCCACATATTTTATTGAAACCATGTTGATATTCTAATAAAAACAAAGATATTTTGAGATAATTTTAAAATATTTTAAGGGGGCATAATTTATTTTTTATACACGATCAATTTTGATTTTTGAATCTTTTTATAGTGCTCCATTCTCTTGGGCGGCGAGGGGAGGGGGTAGCGGTGGCGGGGGAGATGATGGGGGAGATGATGTGTCTAGAAAAGTGTTTTTCTTTCAACCAAATAGATCCTAAGAATTGCAGAGTAGGATTCAAAAGAACATAATCTTAAAAATTTGAAGGAAATTCATATAATAAAAAATAATTTTGTTTTGCCCCGTGCATAGCACGGGTTAAAAAAACTAGTACAAAACTCAAAAAGAGTTGGGATGAGCTCAATGCGTTTTTACATTTACTTGAGTGCACATATGGAGCTGTTCAATCTATGATGAAGCATAATCAATGTAGGAAAATGGTATGGAGGAAGAACGCTGCGGAACAGCGTTAACAAAGAATGAGAAAAATAACTTGATAGAGTATAACGAATCGCGTAAAACGCTTTCATATAAAGTTATTATGGAGTATACGAAACACTTTAATTGGATAAGACGTTAATCAAGAATAAGCCTTTCGAATCGTATCTTCAACCATGCTTGAGCGTCTCTATTTATAGAGATGAAAATCGACGATGAGACATGATCTTTCGTGTAAAAGTTTACAAACTTTCGCGCGGTAGAGATAAACACAGACTTTCAAATTTTGGATGCAAACATTCATAGAGTTTGGTCAAAATTGGTCTTTATCCAAAGTCCGGGATTTTCTTATATTTTGGACTACGTTCGCGAAAATCTGAAGGATTTTCATAAAACCAATTGGACTCCAGCCAGGGGCTGCCGCCCCCGGACCCCCACCATGAATTTATCGTTGAACGAGTGTGCACTCTGCTCCTCCTAACTCGTTTGACAACGTCTATTAAAATTCTTGTCCAATCTAAGTAAACCCAATCACACAAAATATCCGATAACACTAAAATTACCAACAATCAAGACAAAAACTAATTCAATTTCCGATGGGATTAAAATATAAGTATTCTAGTGGAAATTTACTTATGATAAAGCCTCTCCTTACAGTTAGTCAATCATATAAATTTTTATACAAGAAGAATGACAAAGAAAGGTACAATCCAAGTATCTAGTTAGATTATGCCTAAACATGCTTCTCTAAATGTCACTAAAAAGTAACTTCGGTACAAAGGGAAATCTGATCTTAAGAGGTCTCTATTTTGTGATCATTGCAAGAAATCTAGACATACACCAATATAGATGTTTTAACCTAATTAGATTCCTAAAAGATTTCAAGTTTACAAAAGGAAAGAATGCCTCAGCCTATTCAACTACACTAGAAGATTTCACCACAGTCTCAGTTGATCTAGAAAAACAACTCAACTATGATTTTTGTAATCAGTTCATGATACTGCTTACTACTGTTCAGTCCAATGGATATGTACTTGTGTCTCATGACACCCATTCAAACCTCTTTGTTAACTCTAATTCTTCTTTCCCTTCTTTTAATTTTCCTTCATTCCATTTGAGTAATCATGTGTTTGATTATACTCGCCATATTTGGATATAGGATTTTCTCGCAGCAGATATGATACAAGATAGGGCGCAATGACATCGTTTGATCCATGTAGCCGACCGTACTTAGTGGGATAAGGATGTGTTGTTGTTGTTGTTTTTGTATTTGGATATTGGATTTTGGAGAAATTGATCATATGTGTGCACACCAAAATCTTTTCACTACACTTTCCAACTTACCCATCCCTCACACTGACACCTTACCCGATCACCAGGAATTTGCTATCACTCGATTTGGTACAGTTCCTGTTGATATTGACATAGGTTTGGAAGATGTTCTATATGTTCCTCAATTTTAATGCAACTTTTTGTCCATTGAAAAAGTATGTTCCCAAACAAAAGGATTTGTGCAGTTTACAAAAAACTGTGCTTTTGCAAGGCCTTTCCATGAAGAGGCCACTGGTTCTTGGTAGACAATCTAGAGACCTCTATTTTTCTCAACTGATTCAAGTTACACTCATTAACATTCTCCATCAAATTCTCTCAGCACATGTTCAACTCATCCATTTGAACTGGTTCACATTGATTTATGGGGTCTCTATCATACCAAAACCCATAACGGTTTTTATCACTTCCTCATTGATGACTTCTCCAGATCTACCTAGACTTCTTTGTTAAGCGCCTAAAGCAATGCTCCTTAATATATCAAAGTTGTTACTAAAATCGCCTCAACTCAGTTTGAAACTGCTGTCAAAACTGACAGATCAGACAATGCTTTAGAATTAGGAAAAAATAGAGAAATCATGAGTTATTTTTTTTTATCCAAAGGCATTCTTCATCAAACCAGCTGCAAAGCTACCCCTCAATAGAATGGGGTAATTGAGAAATAACAAAAACACCTCCTTGAAACCTCAAGAGCTCTATGCTTCCAATCCAACATACCTTTGAAATTCTAGGGGGAGTGTGTCCTTACTGCTACATATCTTATTAACGGGTTCCCTACAAAACTATTTGGAAGAAAAACACCTTATGAACTATTGCTTTGCATTGCTCCTTAAACTCATTTAAGATTCTTTGGTTTCTTATGTTATGTCTCTGCATCTAAGAATGGAAGAACCGAATTTGCAGCAAGAGCTTCTTCAGGTGTTTTTCTTGGCTTCTCATATGGAAAGAAAGCATACAAAATCTTCAACCTTGAGACACAAAAACTTGAAGACTCCAGGGATGTCTTATTCCATGAAACCATTTTTCCTTATCATTATTCCACTCGAACATTAAAGTTCATTCATTCAACCTTCCCATTTCTGATTTTTCCATACTAGATTCTGTTCCTCCTATTTCTATTACTGCAGTATCTTATCTTTCTGAAACCACCACTCATCTCCCTCCAGCACATCAATTAAGCAGGTTTAACACAGAACCTCAACCTCCATGTTTTCTTCAAGATTATATTTTCCAAAATGTTATGACTTCCTCATCCATATCACCAACCCCACATTTCTCTCACACATTAACCTCATCTTTCCCACCTACACACATATTTTTTAATGCTAACCAAGTATAGTTAGTAATTTTACATATGGTTTCTCAAATGCATGAACCTCACAATTATGTGGACGCTAGGGAGGACCCTATCTGGCAAGAGGCCATGAACAAAGAGCTGGAAGGTTTACAAAACACTGGCGCATGGGTTCCTTCTGAGCTCACAAAATATCGAAAGCCTTTAAGTTTCAAGTAGGTTTAAAAGCTAAAGTTCATATATGATGGTACTTTAGAAAGACACAAAGCAATGTTGGTGGTTGGAGGTTGTTTTCTGAAAGAGGGCATAAATTATCATGAAATTTTTTCACCAGTGGTTAGGATGACCACCACTAGAGCTCTTATCGCGTCAGTTTCTAAACAGCATTGGTGATGTGAATTCGAAATTAAACTTTCGGATATGATCAAACACGCGGGCCCACCAAACCTGAGCGGGTCCAACATATGCGGGATAACGTTTATTTGTGTGTTAATAATGTTATGCAGGTATCCCTAGGCAAACACGTGAAAACGACGAAAGAAATCCTCGCTAAAACTAGAGCGTTAGAACCAGGAGGAGAAACAGAAGGAGAACAATCTTTCCGACAAACGGTGGAGCTATTGGACCACCCAAATCCCACGGTCAAGCGTCATTAGCTCTTCATCGTAGAAACCTACAGACGGTCGACTACCTAGACTGTTTTGGTGAAACGGTCAACTGTAAGGATACCAGTTTGCAGATTCTGAGAAGGGACCCCGGTCCACTCTTTGGACCGTTCATGGGAAACGATTGACCGTGTTTGGAACTCGAGGAAATTAGGATAAGCATGCGATCAACGGTTGATCTACTGGACAATTACATATGAACGGTCAATTGTTGGTGTTGGGTTATTCTGTGAAGGCTTTAGAGCTTTGGGCTTTAAGCCCGGTCGGTTAAAGGGAAGAAATATGGGGGGCCGGTTTTAGTTATTAATTAAAGGGCCCATTAGTTGTTTCTTGTTTAGCAAGTTGTTAACCCTAATTCATATCTTATAAATACCCAATCATGTAACTATAATCTGTGAGCACCTAATAAAAGAGAAACCCTAGTTGCAACCCATGGAGTAGGTTACTGACCGAACCACGTTAAATCTCGTGTTCTTATTTTCTGCTATTTGTGTGTGTGTGTTTGTTCGCTTCCGCTTGACCGCCTCTGATCTCTGATTCCTAACAAGTGGTATCGGAGCCTTGGTTCGGTTAAACACACGGTTACACAGGATCAATCACAGGAAGAAGGCTGTTCAAGATCGTTTTTGCTGCTGTTTTGCTACCGCGGTTAAGGGGATGGTTCGGATCTGATCAGGGGCTGGTTCGGATCTGATCAGAGGCTGGTTTGGATCTGGTCAGGGGCTGTTCAGTCGGTTTTGGGTGAACTCGGAAATTAGGGTTTCTGGTTTTGGACCTGGTACTCGTGGGTTCGGGTTCTTTGATTTAGGGTTTGTTTTCTTTTGGAGGTTGCTTGGTTTCGGGCCGTTATTCCTTGGTTTTTTCTCTGGTTTTTTTCTCTCGTTTTGCAATGGCCGAGGATGGGAGGGTTCGAATCGAGAAGTTCAACGATACTGATTTTGCATGGTGGAAAATGCAAATAGAGGCGTTGCTTGGTGAGTGCGATTTGGACATGGTACTGGAAGAGAAACCGGATGGAATGGATAAGGCTGCTGAAGCAATTTGGGACGCAAAGGACAAAAAGGCAAGAGGTAAAATTACACTAGCTTTGACGAGGAGTGTGGCGTTTAATATCATGAAGGAAACAACTGCTCGTGGTATGTTAACAACTCTGTCAAATATGTATGAGAAATCGTCGGCCGGTAATAGAGTGCTCTTGATGAGGGAATTGTTCATGATGAGAATGAACGAGGGCAGCCCAGTTGCTGATCACATTAATGAGGTCAATTCGATCTTGTCGAGGTTGTCATCAGTAAGTATGAAGTTCATTGATGACACTCAGGCTGTGATTCTGTTATCTTCCTTGCCTGATAGTTGGTCGGGATTTGTGACAACGGTTACTGAAACTGCTGGAACAGGAAACATGAAGTTTGATCGGATACGGGATAGTGTTTTGGGTGAAGACATTCGTCGGAGGAACGCTAGTGGAGGATCTACTTCTGGGTTACTCAGTGTTAGCAGGGGAAGAGGTAATAACAAAAACAGTGGGAGTCGTGGGAAGAGCTCGTCTAAGGCTGGAAAGAATGTGGTGTGCTGGGTCTGCAAAGAAGTTGGGCATGTCAAGAGTCAATGCCCAAACAAGAAAAACGAAATTAGCGCAGTTGTTGGGAATGCATCTGATGATGATAGTGATGCATTGATACTCAACATGGAAAGCTATGTTGACTCTTGGGTCATGGATTCTGGTGCTTCGTTTCACGCCATGCACAGCGGTGAGGCGATGGTGAATCTCAAAAAGGGAGACTTTGGAAAGGTAAAGTTGGGTAACGGGAAAATCCTTAAAGTGACAGGCATGGGAGATATTGATCTAAAAACTTCATTTGGAACTACTTGGAGCTTACAAAATGTCAGGGTGATTCCAAGACTGAAGACAAAGTTGATCTCAGTCGGACAATTGGATGAACAGGGACTAGACGTCAAGTTTGGTGGTGGAAAATGGAAGGTGATCAAAGGAAATTTGGTTATTGCTCGAGGCTTGAAAAGAGGATCGTTACACATGGTACCGGTGACGTCTAAGGGAGTGACCAACCCGGTAAAGACAGTTAACAAAGTCGGGCTCACTGAATCGGGCAAAGCTAAGAAGGTTCATTTTGCAAACGTGAATCTTGGAGTTTTGGGGATGACAGTTGAGTGTGTTCGGAGGTCTGAATCAGGTCAGGGGTTTCGCGACAATGGGAGCATGGGATGTGTTCCGAGTACAGTTCTGAAACGTCGTTGGGTTTTGAGGACCAAGAATCCGAACGTTAAAATCTCTCCTGGGAATAGTTTGCTGGATTTGGAGAGTGGTAATGGTCATCGGTGTATCTCTAGATCCGGTGGATTGTGCAAGCCGGTTGAGACAGAGGCTGTGGCGGTTACAGTCACGACTGGGTTGGAGCTCGGTGGAGCTTCAACTGTCCTTTCAGGTTATTAATGAAGGGGGTGGTTGCAACTAGAGGATATAACTGGAGTCTTAGCTTGTTCTTGGGAACTGGAGGCTTGGAGGACTTGACAGTGAAGATTACTGAGTTACTCATGATGGGTTTACTTGGATGGCATTTGTGTCTATGCGAAATCCTTCAAGTGGGAGATTGTTGGGTTATTCCGTGAAGGCTTTAGAGCTTTGGGCTTTAAGCCCGGTCGGTTAAAGGGAAGAAATATGGGGGGCCGGTTTTAGTTATTAATTAAAGGGCCCATTAGTTGTTTTTTGTTTAGCAAGTTGTTAACCCTAATTCATATCTTATAAATACCCAATCATGTAACTATAATCTGTGAGAACCTAATAAAAGAGAAACCCTAGTTGCAACCCATGGAGTAGGTTACTGACCGAACCACGTTAAATCTCGTGTTCTTATTTTCTGCTATTTGTGTGTGTGTGTTTGTTCGCTTCCGCTTGACCGCCTCTGATCTCTGATTCCTAACAGTTGGATGGTGGTTAGGGTTTTGGGAATTTGCACCTAATTTCCTACTCCCTCCGTCCCTAAATATTTGTCACACTAGCTTTTTCAGCGGTCGCGTGGTTCTGTTTATTTCTAAAATAAAATAAAATATTCTTGGTTATTTGATTATTTGATTGGTTATTTGATTATTGACACTTACGTTTTCATTAGTTATTAGATAAAATAAAATATTCTTGACACCTCTTAGTTCTAAAACTTTTCATGTAGTATTTTGATATGTAAATTTTTTCATTTTTTATTTCTATATCAATATGTAAATAAAATGAATTTAAAAAACTTAATATTTTACCTCGGGAATAGAAGTGTAATAAATATTAAGGGACGGAGGATGTAATTATCATAAGAATTTGATTTGATTAATATTTTAACATATCTTGAAAAGTAACATGTTTTGACCCATTGATCATGGTTAGAGCGTGATAGAGCCAAAGGATATTTTAATGATTATATTCGAAGATTTTAGCAAGGTAATTACTACTGTCATCACATGGTAATTAAGAAGGCAAGATTGAATTTGAAGATTAATCACTCTTGGCTTTATGTGGAGGTTGGAAGATATTATCAAGACAAGATCAATCAAATGCGTTTTATTAGGATTTTAGTTTGACTTAGAAGTTTCCTAGAGGTTTAAATGTAATTTCTTAGAAGTTTAATATTTTATTTATTTTAAATTAAATAGAGTAAATTCCATAATTTTGTCCTTTATAAGAGAGGGTTTCCATATTTAGTCATCTATTATCAAATATTATCACCGTAGTCCTTTTTTTAAGGGTACCTTTCCACAAATGGTCCATTTTTTATCTTCTTCCGTGTTGGTGTTAATTTAAAGGCTAAAAGTATAATTTGACATCAACATTATGCTTAGTGATGTGTTCTGATTTTGGTTAAACGGATAACACAAAAATAATGACTATGATTGTGGGCTATGATTCTGACAAAAAACCACATTTGTAGACTATAGTTGTAGTAGAAAACGACTGTAATTCACAAACGACGTAAACGGAATAGTCTTTGGAATTGTGTATGACAAAAAAGATATATTATCATTGTAAAATTACACTTTTAGCCCTCAAATTAACACCAACATGATAGAAGATCAAAAAAGGACTATTTGTGGAAAGCTACCCATAAAAGAAGCACTACTGAGATAATATTTGATAATAGAGGACTAAATAGGGAAACCCTCTGTTATAAAGGACTAATTATAGAATTTACTCAATTAAATATCTTAACCTAATCATGCCTATAAATAGGCCTTGTATTCTCATTGTGATACAGAAGGAATAATTGATATTTATATTATTTAGTTAATTAGATAGTTAAATTATTTTAATGTACTTTTTATTGTTGAGTGGAATTATAACACTCCTTCGAAAGTTTCTTTTCGGTTCTTTACCTCGATGCTTTTATTGAACCGATAGGCTTAGGAACTAAGTATTTGCTAAGGTTAGGGTTTACCATCTTCATCTATACATTGAGTTGTAATCCCTTTTAGATTAATCATCAATGAAAAACAACAATATTATCACTCCTAAACACTAATCTCTCCCCCTCTCTTTTCTAGCCGTTTGGCACCTTCTCTTCTCCCTCATCTCCTTCTCTTCTCAAATCTTGTTCTTCTGATAGAGTGTAAATGGAGGTTAGTTGGGTTTGTTAGGGTTATAAGTTGGGGTAGCTCTTATAAATACCCACTCTATCTCTAAAAAATGTATCAATCAAGAAATGAATAACAACTTCTCCAAATCTCTATCTCTCTCGTCCTTCTCCCTCTATCTCTCTCTCTCGGTTCTTTTGTGTATTTTACAGATCTTTCGAAGCTCTCCTTCTCCGTTCCTGAGTAGCTTCCTAGGACTGTATCATTGGTATCAAAGCAGTCACGATCCTTCTTCTTCAACAAATTTGATCAATTGTTAATCAATTGATTTTATCCTGGCGCTAATCAGATTTTTTGTGTCTCTCAATTGCGACTGACTCATTTGGTTTGCAATTGAATTTTTATCCTGATTTGTTTTGTGCGAAGATTAGATTCCTTCTCAAACCAAACGGAAAACTCTAGTCAACACAAGATCAAAGTAACAATGGAAGAATCCATCCAGAAGATTTTTGAACAGCATCAAGAAGGGATGAACCGGCAACTGCTAGAACATCAAAGGTCAATGGATGAGCAATTTCGATCATTCACATCATTATTACACAAGCTTCAATAATCAAATGTCAGCACCAAAACAGCAGCAGGAAGCTCGCCTATGCACACCGAAGGTAGACATCCATTTTCCTTTAACCCTAGAATTGAATTGTCTTTGTTTATGGGGGGTAATCCAAGAGAATGGATCAAACAATGTGGAAAATGCTTCTCCCTGTTTAAAATTCCTGATAATCAAAAGGTGACTTTAGCTTCAATTCATTTGGAGGGGAGGGCTAAGATATGGTTTGAAGGTTATGGGCGAGCTAGGCCTATTGTGGATTGGGAGGATTTTATTGTGAATTTGTATGCAAGATTTAAAGATGATAAACATGTATGTTCGAGATTCAGTAATGATGCCGGTCACAAATCTTTGTTGAACCATCCAGCATCCACAACTAGCCCTTTGATCACTCATGAACCTTTTGGAAGCTGGTCTAATATACACCTGGATGGTCTGGAAACTTATCAAGGGCACACCAGCATGGTGAAATCTTTTAGTGTTAATAATGTCTCTCTTGTTGAGTCCTCAGCCGATAACCCTGTGCAAAAGGACTCATCATATTTGAAGTTGGAGTTTCAGGTTTCAAGAAAAACAACACTGATTCCAGTTGACTGTTCCCATTTAGTAGAACACCTCTCGTCCGAGTCTTGTGATGATTCAGATGTGGCTAAGAGAGACAAGAGAAATTGTTAAGGCAAATGCTTCTGAGGAACATAAATCAATGGCTAAGCTTGAATCTGTGGCCAGGACCAATAGTGTTGAGAGCTCTCAATACTCTAACAGCAAGGTCCAGTTTCCACCACAAGGAAACCCAAGGTCTATATCTTTTGCTATAGGAGGGGAAATAATGGCAAATGGATTGGACTATTACTTTGGTAATTCATTTGAATGGGGACATAAGTGTGAGAGAAAGGGGATTCAGCCCTTTCTGGTGGAGCTTTTAGGAAAAAAAATGGTTGATCAATTTGAGATACCTGGTTGGGCAGCAAGGGCTGGCAGTTCAACATCCATTTCAATTCACACTTTACCTGGGAACAGTGGTTGCCAAATTATGAGGATGACAGGATTTGTAGGGAAAAGGGCTTTAGAATTTTTGATAGATTTAGGAGGTACACACAGCTTTGGGGTTAATATGATGCCCATAAAGCTAGGTTTTTGCCCTAAATTCAGTAGGGCCTTGAGAATAACAGTGACAACTGGATACAACATACAAGGTACCTCAGTAAAAATATCAAAGGAGTGCTGCAGAATGGAAGTAAAGAGGCATTACCTTTACTCTTCAAACTATTAAATGAGTATGTCAGGGTCCAGGTTTTGTAAACCCCGGCTGGTCTCCCACCTAATAGAAGTACTTTTGATCCTGGAATTTCACTGAAAGAAGGAAGCCATCTGGTAACTCTCATACCTTACAAACACTTGCAAAGTAATGAAGCTCATTCCCAGGAAATCTGCAAGGTAAGTGTCAACTGTTCTAGACCTCTTCAGATTTTGGACCAAATAAGAATAAGGAGAAGTACTACCAGAAGATAGTGGTTAGTTTCTTGGGCAGGACAATCACAGAGGAAGAGAAAATGTAAAGGGGTATTAAGGAGGAATGTCTTTATGGATGTTATAGAAGGGTGGCTTAACTCATTGGATAGACAAACTGAGGTTGTTAACAGATGCCCTGAGACCCATTTGAAAGCCATGGGCAATGAACTCCCAAAACTCATCAAGGAGGCAACTCATCCACAATTACCCTCTTGGTTACTTAGATTAACTGCTGCAACTAGGCTTCAACCACTGGTTGTACCAGCTAGAACGCAAGGGTTGATTCCATGGGAAGTAGGTTGGGTATGCACATGTGTTCAGCTCATCAGTTCAATGCACCCTTTTACCACTTTAAAGTAGGTCCAAAACAGAGCGAAGCAATTGGTTGATTCTCATGGCATTGATAAGATTTTGCAGCAGGGTCCCTTACATATTCAAATGAGGAGTGGCCATGTGGCTTACAAACTATTGCTGCGAGAGGGTGCAGAGGTTCACAATGTCTCTATTGAAAGCCTTTAAAGGACCAATGCTGACTACTCCATCCAGGTTTCCATGTCAAAGGGTACAAGATGTTGCAAGGAAGTGGTGAGGATTCAGAAACCAATTTTAGTTTTTCAACCTTGAGGACAAGGTTGTCTTAAGGGGGGTAGTATGATACAGTGTAAATGGAGGTTAGTTGGGTTTGTTAGTGTTATAAGTTGGGGTAGCTCTTATAAATACCCACTCTATCTCTAAAAAATGTATCAATCAAGAAATGAATAACAACTTCTCCAAATCTCTCTCTCTCGTCCTTGTCCCTCTATCTCTCTCGGTTCTTCTGTGTATTTTACATATCTTTCGAAGCTCTCCTTCTCCGTTCCTGAGTAGCTTCCTAGGACTGTATCATCTTCTCTCAATTCTTTGTCTTTATTCTCTAATTTCTCAATCTTTTCCCTATACCCGATACGTTAATGTATCAATTGGTGCTTTCATTTTTGAACTCATCATCACATATCTAAAAAAACCAGCTCAGCCGGCGAACTCCAGCTGAAAAATATGATCAATCAAATTGAATTGGTGTTTCCCCACACCACTTTGTAGATTTGTGCCGCCCACAATCACAATACAAAAAAAATAGGAGAAAAAGAATTGGATTGATAGTGGCCTTGTAAATGAACTTTCCAATTTGTTTCCAGCCCCAAATTGACTTTGCCGCAAAGAATCATATGGCAAGGAACTCGTCGACGGCACTATCAGAGTCTGCCACCTCGTCCTTAAATGATGTTTGGTTAGTCGCTCAGGTTCTCGCCCTTGAGATTCATACACTCCGCCAGGAACAAATCGACTTGTCGCAATGCGTTGATAATCTATTCTCTATTTTGGAAACTTGGGAGACTTTGAGTGATTACAAAAGTGGGTTGTTTTGTTATAAGTCGCGGCAACTGGATCTAGATTTTCCAATGTGGTTTTATAGCGTTACAAGTATTCGTCATAATGTTTGGATGTCAAACATTGACCAATCAATAGAAGAGCAATTGCATGAACCCATTGAGGAAATCATATTAGTCATGACAATAGAGAGAGATATTGTTGATCCTACAAGTGTTCCCGATGAGGTTTCTGTTATCCTTTCTGATGATTGTGCTAAGGAATTCCAAGGCGACATATATAAGCTTGGAAAACCCGTTTGTGTTGCCCAATGATGTTTTGCCACCAAGGGCTTTTACATTGTTTAGCATGTTTGAAGGAGTAAGGGGTCATGTTGTACTTGAGGGTGGTAGCGGGCTGCATTTTGTTGCTTTCGAGGGCCCTTATCGCTTCACATGGCTTGGAGTTCTTTCTTTGCCTTACCAAAAATCTAGAGCTTGGTCCGAAGGTGGACAATTTCTTTTGTTCGTCATTGCATTTCCTGTTTCGAAGCTTTAATGGGATCCTCCACCAAACATGGCATGCACGAGGTTATTGCACACCTTTTATTTTCCTACTTACACCTTGAGGACAAGGTGTGTCTCTATCGGGGTGGCAGTGATACAGAAGGATTAATTGATAATTTAATTATATTATTTAGTTAATTAGATAGTTTAATTATTTTTATTTACTTAACACTCCTTGGAGAGTTTCTTTTCGGTTCTTTATCTCGACGCTTTTATTGAACCAGTAAGCTTAGGAACTAAGTATTTGCTAAGGTTAGGGTTTACCATCTTCATCTATATATTGAGTTGTAACCCTTTTAGATCAATCATCAATGAAGAACAACAATATTATCACTCCTAAACCCTAATTGTAGAATTTGTCTGGCGAGAAGTTGGCCGATGTGAGCCGGCGGCAAAGACGACCGTCGTGAGGCGGTCTGCGTATCTATGGTGGCGGCACCGTGAGAAAAAAAATGAGCCTAGGGTTTGAGATATTTCCCAGGAATTAGCTCCGATACCATGTATAATTTGTGAAAACTGACCTGGTTTCCATTGAATATTTACGAGGTATAAATACAAGAGTGTTGGGCTTTGGATTGGGCTTGAGTACGTAAAAGGAAATAAGAATATATACTAGGATACAATTACTTAAATAGAAATATATATATATATATATATATACACACACACACACACACGCTAACACTAATCTCTCCCCCTCTCTTTTCCATCCGTTCAACACCTTCTCTTCTCCCTCATCTCCTTCTCTTCTCAGATCTTGGTTCTTCTCTCAATTCTTCATCTTTATTCTCTAATTTATCAATCTTTTCCCTATACCCGATACGTTAACGTTTCACATTGTAACCTTGCCTTGAATCGGATGAATTTTTTTTGTTTTGTAATCCATTGTGGGTTATTTTGATTCTATGCAGGTCGAGAAATTTGTGAGAGCTTCAAAAACGTGCAAGTGTAAAACTACACCTTTGAGGTTGCCACATGTCTCATGGAGGTGCCAAATTCATAGTGTTGCCCTCTCTAAAACACACCATTAGTGTTGCCACACGTTTCTCGTGGAGGTGCTAAAGTTATAGAGTAGTGAATCTCTAAATCACCTTATATCCATACCTGTTCATACGGAAGAATCCCGGGAATATGAACAAACCAATATTATGGTTGATGCATGCACATGCATATTTTTTTGAACCAATCTTCTATTACTTTTATGCAATGTTTAAAATTAGTCCATTTTTATGGAGTTAACAAGCCATTAATCTCTAGTTATTCACGACAAATTTTAAACATAGCGTAGTGTAACGAACGTGTTAATGCCTATTAAAAGACGAGTTAAAACTCTTTCTTTTTTATATATATACTCCATACGTGTGTAAGAGGGATAAAGGAAGTGAAAAAAGATAAAGTTTTTATTGGTCATTAAAGAAGAGTTGAATTAGAGAGAGCTCTAGTTTTTCCGACCAATATTTCTGGTGATCATCATCATCTTTTTGCGGTCGGCAATGCTCTAACGACATTCTCATTCGTAGGTTTGAGGTTGGCCTATACAACCACCGCACACGATAGTGTTTTTATTCTGGGAGGAAAGTGCCCACGTTATCCAGTAAGGTAGGCGGACACTATTACCTTAAGAACAACTCCGACGACTCCGCTGCCCTTTTACGATGTTCTATTTTGTAGATTTTGTTCACACGGTCTACTTCCGAGTTCACAGCTTCAGTCTAGTGCATAAACGTTTTTAAGCAAGGCCTTTGAAGATCGGAAGTTATTTTTTGATTTATTGTAATTAAATTTGAATAAATTATAAATTCGAATTTATTTTATTTTTATTTTATTTTATTCCCGGGCCGTTCATCTTCCGTGTCCGTTGTATTTCGTACTAAACTTTCCAACAATTTTGACTAACACAAAAGAGAGCGTTGTGCCGTACGCCGAGCGCCCATGGTTCATCACCAAGTCCGATATGAAGGGGTACTTTTTTTACAATATTTATTTTTTTTCCTTTCGATTTTATTTTTCAAAAATTAATTACTTTATTTTTCTAATTTTTTTCGTTTAGCCAGAAATCGGTCATAATTTAATTCAATTCTTTTTAATAGGAGGAGGAGGAGCATGACACGCCCAATTGCTTCAAGGTCGTCAACCGGTTGTTTGTGAAGAAGGTGAGTTTTTTAAATGAGGAATTTACTTAAATAGCACTAAAATATAATGACGTTCCCTAAATAACACCACATATGTTTTTCTATCCAATGTAGCACTTTTAGTCATTATGCATTAGTCATTATTCAAGTAAATATTTGTCATCACACGACATTATGGACATTATTAAGTGCTATTTAGAGAATAAAACAATTTAAGTGCTATTTAGGCAAATGACTTAAGTTTTAGTGCTATTTAGTGTAAATATTTCTTTTTTAATTCCCTTACTCTAAATTATTAACTTTCATCTTCAATAAAGTTTAAATTGTTTTACTCTTTTTTGTAGAGAAATTGCATGCAAGGAGAATTGTTAACTCAATTTCAGGGATTGAAGGATTCGGTCAATTTTTTGACCCAAAGCCTGTATTTGTCTCAAGTTCGACCGTTGATGAATTCGAAGTCCGAGCCCGCTCATTAATCAACATCTTACCTTCGCCTTTTATTATTATGCCTCCCAACTCTCATGCCTTATGCCTTTATTTCAATCAACTCCTATCCCTGCCCAAAATTTATCTGAAGGACATAATTCTAATAACTGTGATGTTAAAAGTTATTTAAATCATGATAATTTGTAACTGTTATTTTTATTTGTGAGATGAATGTGGTATGAACATTTATTATTTGTTGGATGTCATGAATATTAGATATTTTATTTTAATTTAATTAATCAATTCTGTTATTATGATGTGAATATTAGATGCTTTTATTGTTAAATTTTACAAAATTTCCAAATTAAATTTTTTTTTATTTTTAAAAATTTAGGCATGGACAATTCCTTGACAAAGGGGCCAATATTTATTATTTCGAAAAATAAATTTTCGCATTTTGAAAATTTGAAAAGGCACGGATTGGTAAGAACACTCGTTTGGCACGGCGAGATCCGTACCTATAAACATTGACGTTTTCCTACAAATCGTGAGTTTGGAATGGTGTCGGCACGAGTAATTTTGTGCCTTTCTATGGCATGGACAAGAAATCTGTGTCATAAGTTTTGGAGCTTCGAAATTGACAGGTCTTTTCATCCGTGCCAAATTCCGTGCCTAATGCTCTTGCCACGGAAAATTAAAATCGGCATCCATGCCAAAGTCCGTGCTAATAACGCGTTTTTTTTTGTAGTGTTGCTAAAGACGTCACATTAACATATACTCCGTACTTGGCTACGTGACTTTTAATTTGTGTGGTTCAAACTTATAAATATGTATCCATAATTCCATTACAATTCAAGCAATATTTTTTGAATCATGTTTTGGATTTTTTTTCATTAAGGTGTAACTGAAAAAGGTCAAAGGTGTAATAACTAATATATTATATATGAATTGCAAATAAGAGTACACAATAATACACATGTATACAAAATATATAATTTTGTACAAGCTCCAGAATATGTATTATAAAGCGAGAAATTAGTGAGCCGCTTATGGTGGAGATCCCTTTAGAAAAGATTTGAAAAGGGTGAAAACTTCAGACGGAGAGCTATATGGAGTAAATTGAGATCCACCCCTCACTGAAGCAAATGTCAAGTATGTGATGTTTTCCCCTCCTTTGAAATTTCCATATGATTCACTCCATCCTCCAACCTAAAACAATGTAATTTGAATTGTTATTTTATTGTTTTTTTATCATTCACCATTTTGTTTAAAAGACCGTTTTCTAAATATATTTTTTCAATGTACCAAAATTATAAATAAAAAAATACGGAGTATTTGCCTCTCTACTCTAGAAGTTTTTTTTCACAAAGTATTATAATTATTACTTTCTTATTATAGTGTTATCGTAAGTCATAATTCTACATCGATTACCATTCTCTGTTATTCTTTATATACATTGATGAAACCTTCAATATTCAATAATATCAATTATTATCAAATTATATCACTTATGAATGAAACTATCTGGTTCCATTTTTCTCCGAAATATCTGTACACCATCCTCTTCTCCACCACACATTTTTATTTGATTTTTATTTACTAATTTTTTAATTTTTTTTACCTTTTTTAGTGAACAAGAAGGAGGTGAGGACATATGGAGTACACCTTTGGTGTATCCCTCTCATTTTTCTACTTTAAATGGCTTGTTTCTACTGAATTTGAAGTCCTTTTGATGATATTGAGTTTATTCTCTACCACACGTGATAGATTGAGTTCTCGGCTCATATTGAGGTCACCATCAATCAGGGTAAATTTCACCAATGGTACCTAAACTTTAGCTATAATTTCGAAGTGGTACCTGAACTTCAAATCCTTTCACAAAAATCCCCCAACTTACACAATCCTTTCACTAATGAGCCATTAGCCCGTTTCTAGGTCAAATGCCGGTTACCATCCGACGTGGGTGCTGATATGGATGCTGAATCACTTCCCCTACCTCACTCTCTTTCCTCATTAACTGCTCTGGTACGAATCTGACACCAAAGATTTGAATCGTCTCTTATGCGAAAAACCCAACGCGCGAGAAATTGCAGCGGAAAAGCTCATCCTCGACGGTGGTTTGCTCAAAATCTGAATCTCTTCTTCTCTAGTCCACTGATTAGGTTTGAAATTTGGATTAGACGAAGGGTGAACCTGACAACGCAAGTTGTGAGAGTGAAGGCGATTTGCAGTAACGCGAAGTTCAGAACATTTGAGGTATTTGCATGCGTTTACTTTTTAATAGGATGAATGTTTGAATCAACTGAAGATATTTATTTTGTGTTATTTCAATTGCGTGCAGAGATATTAAAGCGATGAGGGATTCTGATGATAGTGAAGCGAGTTCAGATACCTTCATTCTCAGTGAAGAGAGCAGCGAAAACAATTGTGAGAGTGAAGGCGATTCACAGAGCGAGGTGAATGGGGTATATGATTTAATTGTGCATCATAGTGGGGTGTTAGGAGAATGTTCGTATTACAAGGGAAAACAGTTTCTGGTAGGGGATATAAATGGCAGGAGATTGACAATGAATACCCTAGATAGGTTGCTGGCCAGAAATGGAATTAAGGGGTTATGTAGGTACCACTGGAGGGAACATAAAAAGCCATTTTTTGGGGGTCTGAACATTCTACAGTTTAATAAGGATGTTGCAAGAATGTCAAGGGCTGGGAGTCTTTACGATTCAGTTCATTTATACATCGAGTACATAACAAAAGAAGAAATATTGAAGATAGTTAATGATCTGAAAAGTGCTCCCAAACCTCCTCCCAAACCTAGGCTTGTTTTACAGGAACTTGAGGATGACACATCAATACCTTCTCACACAATGGGGGCTAGAGGAAGTTCTGTGGGAAGTGTGTTAGCTATATGTTGGGTGGAGCAGGAACAGAGGTCTGAAAACATTATTGAGGGGATAAATGAAAGGGTAGAGGAGATGGTTGAGGATGTATCTGCAGTTCCTCTTTCCACTGATGGAGTTGTCAATGATGTTGAGAACACAGTTGTGAATGATGATGATATCACTGCTTCCAATGAAGCACACAATGAAAGGGTTGACTGTGGAGATTATTTTGTTCAGATCCTGAATTCTGATGTGCCTTCTTCATCAAATGGGGGTGTAAATGAGAAATGGGGCTTTGATTCTTTAAATGGGTGGAGCAATGCAAACTTAGATGTCAATTTTCAGGATATGGCCAACATGAGGTTAAATGAGAATTGGGACTTTGTTGTAGATAATATGGGGAATGATGCTGAGGAAGTGGATACCCCTGATGGGACTGAAAAAGACACCTCTGGCAGAGTTATACCTGAAGCTGCAGATGAAGTTCCGATTGAGGATGATGATGATCTATATGATGCTGACTATTCTGTAGAGGTAGGGGATGAGGACTTCTGTGCAAATACTGAAACTCCTGTGGAATTCAGAGATGAAGGAAGAAGGCGTGGCAGGCCAAGGAACAAGCAAGATCAAAGTTCCAGTGAGCAAAATTTGCAATTTGAAATGCAAAGTGATTCCTCTGACTATGCTGAGTCAGATGAATTACTCACAGAATCAGATGAGGAAAATGCACAGAGGGAGAAGAGGTACCCTTCCTTTAATGCAAAAAGGGAAATGGGAAAGGGTGAATTTAAATTGGAAATGTTGTTTAAGAATGTTCAGGAGTTTAGGAGAGCTGTCAAGGAGTATGGAATCAGGTCAAGGTGGCAGATTAAACTTCGCAAAAATTGCAAGGACAAGGTTCAAGTGAAATGTGCTCAAGACTGAGGGTATTCAATCTTTGCATCTAGAGCTCACCCTAAGGACCCACTAGACCCCACCTTTCAAATAAAAACTGGGTGTTTTGTGCATAAATGCAAAAAGATGCACAAGAACAATCATTGCACCTCTTCATGGCTAGCTAGGAAGTACTTGGAGGATTTTAGGGTGAATCCAGCTTGGCAGTTGAGTCACTTAATTGCTAAAGTGGCCAGTGATTGGCAGTACAACATTAAATACATGAAGGCATGGAGAGCAAAAGATAGAGCCCTGAAAATTATTCATGGGGATGAGAGGACTCAATATGAAAAGCTGCTAGATTATAGGTTAGAGTTGTTGAGGACAAATCCTGGGTCTACAATACTCTTGAAAAGACATGAGGGGTTTTTTAAGGGTATTTACATTTGCTTGGAACCTTTGAAGAGAGGATTCAAAGCACACTGCAGGCCACTGGTGTGCTTGGATGGTTGTTTTCTTAAGACAAACTATGGGGGCCAACTGTTAACTGCTGTGGGCATAGATCCTAATGACTGTATCTTCCCCTTAGCTTATGCAGTGTGTGAGGTTGAAGACTTTGAAAATTGGCAATGGTTCTTAAGACTGCTTGGTGATGACTTGGACCTTCATAGAGATAGTGTCTTCTGCTTTATGAGTGACAAACAGAAGGTATGATAACATTATAAACTTATTTGTAATATGTATAGAATATTGTCTTATGCTTGATTACTGACCTCATATTAATATTCCAGGGTCTTGTAGGCGGAATTGCTAGTTTATTCCCAAAAGCAGAGCATAGGATGTGTGTGAGACACTTATATACCAATTATAGGAATCACTTCAAGGGGTCAGAGTTAAAGGACTTACTCTGGGATTGTGCCAGGGCTTCTTATCCTGCAAGGTTGTTGGGGTGCCTAAAGCTTCTAGAAGATAAATGTCCAGAGGCAAGGGAGTGGTTGAAAGCAAGGCCA